TCACGGCGTTGCCGACGGTCCCAGAAGCCCCCGAAACCGTGACCCCAAAACGGCCCAAGAAGGCGCCAAGACGGCCCAAGAAGCGCCCAAGCCGGCCCAAGAGGGCTCCAAGACGGCCCCAGGAGAGGCCCAAGAGGGGGAGCCCAAACCGACAATCCCAGCCTTTCCCCTCACGAGGTTCTCAAGAGGCTCCAAGAAGCCCCGAAGGGCCTCCAAGAAGCCCCCAGTAGGCCCCAGAAGGCCCCCAAGAGACCCGAAAGAGGCCCCAAGAGGCCCCCAAACAACCCCCAAGACTGAGGATTCTTTATGGGCCTGGACCCCAAGCTCTCAAACCTCTTGAAGCTCCCCGCGCGGCCCCTGGGGCCCCCAGAATGTTCCCGCATGACTTGTTCGAGCCCAAGAGGGGCCCAAGACGGGCCAACAGGGCCCCAAGAGGCCCTAAAGACGGCCCAAGAAAGTCCCGAATCACCGAACGATCGGTCCAAGACGCCCGAGCTGGTCCCAAGACGGCCCGAGGAGCTTTCCAGACGCCCTAAGAGCCCCACGAGCCTTCCCAAGAGTGCCCCGAGAGGCAAACAAGATTCGTTTCCTCTGAATTGTTCAATATGTGTGTGGTCAACGTCACCACCACCATTCGTCATCAGCATCCCCACCACTATCACCATGGTCAACGTCATCAGCATCATCATCATCAACATCATCAACATCATCATCAACATCATCATCAACATCATCATCAACAACGTCATCATCACCATCGCCGTCCTCACCAACTGCACCACCCTTAGTACACTGAGAATTCACACCATCACCATCAACGCCACCGACATCATTGCCAGCATCATTGCGGCCACACCGCTATCATCATCACAACCACCATCTCCATCACCAACATCACAATCCTGATTCTCGCCGTCGTCATCACCATCTTCATGCTCTACACCATGACCATTACCATGATAAACATCATCATAATCATCATCACCATCACCATCATCAACCACCACCATCATCATCAAAATCCTCATCATCATCCCGGGAGCCTATCATCACCATCATCATCAAGCATCACCATCATCACCATCATCAATCATCATCATCATCAGTATCATGATCATATGCACACACATCTAACCATACATACACAAATGCATGTGCAGATATATCCACTTACTCGTATACCTATAGACACAACCAGACATCTGTATGCGCACATCCACATACATACACATCTGCATCCACATGTGCATACGCACGCATCTGCACATGCATATACATGTGCATACTCATATGCATTGGCAACTATATATACATACATACATATATATAGATGTACACACATGCATTGTATTTGGCATGTACATGTACATGTACATGTTCGGTTGTCTATACCTGTGCTTGTACATGTACATAAACGTGCACACGATTATACAAATTCGAAAACACACATACACACATACGTGCAACTACGCACATACACACCAACACATAGACATGCGCGTCTACAGATGCACACATACAGACATACGCATGCACCTACAAGGAATACCGTTCCACATGCATCATTGAACATATACAAGTTTACATGTACATTTACAGATACATACCCCTGGAAATACACATACACATACACATACACATGCATTGTCATCTGCAGATGCGTAAATAGATATACGACCTCAAACTGACTGGTTCAACTCTGTACAGGCGTACGTCTGTACATCTGATCAGTTATACAGTTGTACACACATATATACATAGCAATTATATGTACAATGCATACATCAATGTTAAACTATGAAAGAACATACGCATCTGACTTTAAATATGCATAACCCTGACCACGGACATACATATATAGGCATATATATATATATATATATGCATATACACATATATATACATACACGGATACAGCTACACATGCGCAAGCACGTACACGTATACGTACACACATACAACTACATCTACATATGCAATATACGATCTTGAGGTTCTTTGGGGGCTCTCTTGGGCCGTCTTAGCGCAATCATGGGCCGTATTGGGGCTCTCTTGGCAGCCGCTTGGGGCTCTCTTGGGGCGCTACTGAGCGCTCGTTGGGTCATCCCGGGGGCTCTGGGGGGCTCTGATGGGGCAGTTTGAAGCCTGAACAACACCCCCCGTCGTTTCGAGGCGCCGAACAAGGGCGAACCACCAGTCGGCACGCCAAACACACGCCGACCACCTATGCGGCACACCAAATGCATGCCGATAGGAATATCAAAACGAGCGCACGAAATTCTAGACTGCAAAGCGTGGTGCGACACCCGCGACGCTGAATCTGCCGAGCAAGCTAAGGCCACGCTGGCGAACGGGCGGACAAAGCAGTAGGACGGTGGCTCGAGCCTCTCTGAAATCCGCCACCGTGCCTGCGAGGCACGATTGGATTGATAGATTTGCGCGCGCGCCACTTGGGGCTACCGCCGCTCCAATCAGGCCCCGAGGATCGCCCCAAAACGTCCCGAGAAGCCCCCCAAGAGGGCTCCGAGACGGTCCCAGAGGGCTCCAGGACGGCCCAGGAGGCCTCCTAGACGGCCCAAGACTGCCCCAAGGGCGGCCCGAGAGGGGGAACGCGAACTGACACTCCGCGCCCTCCGCTCCAAAACGACCCCTCGGATCGCCCAAGAGGCCCCCAAGAGGCCCCCAAGAGGCCCCATGAAGAGGCCCCCATGAAGAGAGCCCAGAACGGCCCCCAGGAGAGGCATCAGCGCTGCGTTCAAGAGGCCCACGAGAGGCCTCCCAGGAGACCCGGCGGGCAGCCCCGACGACACCGACCCGCGGCACGGTGGCTGGAGGGGCCGAAGGCCGTCAGGATCCGCCGCCCCCTGCCGATTCATCTCAGGGGTGCCCAGCGTGCGGAACCCTCTTCGCTTTTGGTGTTGGTTCTGTTTCCGACAGAACTCCCCCTGGGGCTTCGGCCCGTCCCGCCGGCCACCCGAAGGGCGCGCAATGCTCCCAAAAACTCTTCCAAGAAGGCTCAAGATGGCCTCCAAGATGCCTCCAAGACGGCCAGGCTGCCCTCCAAGACGGCCACGATGGCTCCAACATGCCTCCAAGAGGCCTCCAAGACGCCCAAGATGGCCCCAAGTCGGCCCAGAGTTGCCCCCAAGACTGCTTAAGATGGCTTCCAAAACCGCCCTGGTGGCCCAAGATGGCCTCCAAGATGCCTCCAAGACGGCCAAGATGCCCTCCAAGACGGCCACGATGGCTCCAACATGCTTCCAAGACGGCCCAAGAGGCCTCCAAGACGGCTTCCAGGAGAGCCCGAAGAGACCAAAAACGTTGGCTGCCCCCAGGTTGTTTGATAGATGTTGGGGTGTGCTTCTGTTGGGCCTTCCGACAGCCCAAGACGGCCCAAGAGGTTCCAAAGATCGCCCCAAGATAGCTCAGGAAGCCTCCAAAATGGCTCCACGATGGCCCCAGAGGCCCCCAAGACGGCCCCAAGACGGCTCCAAGATGGCTCCAGATGGTCCCCAAGACGGCCAAGATGGCCAAGATGCCTCCAAGACGCCTCCTAGACTGCCAAGATGTCCTCCAAGACGGTCACGATGGCCCCACGATGCCTCCAAGGAGGCCTCCAAGACGCTCCAAGAGGCCCTCCACGAGAGCCCGAAGAAGCCAAAATCATTGGTTGTCCTGGGTCTTTTGAAAGATTGCGGCTTTTGCTAGTCTTCAACCGTCCGACGGCCCACGACGGCCCAAGAGGCCCGAAAAACCGCCTCCAGAGCGCCCAAGAGACCTCCAAGATGGCCCTATGACGGCCCAAGAGACCCCCAGACGGCCCCAAGAGGGCGCCAAGACGGCTCCTTGGGCTTCCACAACGCCCAAGATGGCCTCCAAGACGGTCCTGAAGCGCCCCAATAGGGCCCCAAGTCGGTTCAGAAAGGCTCCCAAGACGGCTTCCGACGGCGCCAGACGGGCCAGGAACGCCCTAAGACGGCCAAAGAGGCCCAAGAAACCCTCAAGAAGCCCCCAAGAGGCTCAAGGAAGCCCCCAAGAGGCCTCCAAGAGGCCCGAAGAGTGCCGCAAGAGGCTCCCCAAACGCTCCCTCCTCCTCCCTGCTCCTCCTCCTCCCTCTCCTGATCCTCCGCGCCATGCTCCTCCAAGCGTTCCCCAAAGATTCCCACAGCAGTTCGGGGAACACCTGGTCTGATAGCTTCGCGAATCTCTAGCTCCAAACGTTTGGCCATAGGGCTTCCAGGAGACGGCCTAGAAACCACCTGGCCCGATAGCTCGCCCGACTCCGTCTTCCCCGAAGGCTTTCGAAACCCACTCGGGGAACGCGTGGCCCAATAGCTTGGCCAAGCTCAAACCCAACGGTCGGCCACATAGGCGCTTCCGAAAAGACAGGGAACGGCGGTGACTCGCCGTAGGCGTCTTCGATACGGGTCATGCCATGCCAGAGGCACTCGAGGGAGCCCATCCCAGAAGCGCGGCAGGCGACGGCCCTCGCAGAGAAACGTCACGGGCGACAAAAAACCCTGACACAATGAGCGGCCCATGCAGAAGCACCAGCGGTCGGCGCACTCAAACGGGGGGGGAGGAGCAGAAAGGAGGGAGGACGAGGCCAACGGAGAGATCTAGGTTGGCAAAGCGGCCGCGAGGCGCCTTCCTCTGGCGGCGCCCTGGGCTGTCCCCGGAGCGGAGAGAGTCCAGCCCTCTCGGGGCAACCCGGTCCACAAGAGCTGGGACACAACGCTGGCCTGAAAGAAATCATCGACGACGCCTATATCAGCACTCAAGAAGTGGTCTTGCCATTGGGAGTGCCCGAGGGAACCCGCCCCACGAGCCACAGGTAGGCAACCGCTCAAACGTGGCATCTACGACTTGCAACCCCAGGAGAGCAAGTCCAATCTGCAAAAACGGCACGGCAAAACGCCACTGAACATACTTACGTGTACCACGCTGCTTCGCTATACGACCATGTGGCATCAGACTCAGGGCCTTCCCGACGTTGGGGCTCAAGGATTGACCGCCGGAGCTGCCACGAACGAGACGACCGAGCGGCACCGCTCCGGGCGGCTGGCGGCCTCCCTGTGGTCGTCTCCCCCGAGCAGCCCCCCGATGGCCAGAGTCACGCTCTTGACGAACCTGACGAACATGTTCAAGTAGCTGACGCCCTCCTCAGAGAACAGCACGAGTCGCGCAAGCATCGACGCTCGGAGGTCCGCGCGGATTCTCTGGGGTCGGCGCTGAACCCCCCCCTTCCCCACACCCCTGGGCGGCGCTTCTGGCGCGCTTCGCGCGCCAGGAAGGGAGCGTGGGCAGGGGGTTCTGGCGACGACCCATGACATCCGCACGGACCTCCGAACGCTGATGATTACGCGTTGTCTGGTTCTCGGCGCCTGAGTATGCCCAGCGATCACCTTCAGGTCCACCTCGCCCAGCCGCGTCCACTTCAGCTGTTCTCTGTCACCGCCTGCGCGGAAATGAAAGCCGCCGACGCTTTCGCGCTCTGCCCATGCTCCTGAGAGGTTGATGCTGCGGAAGTACACGTCCGCGCAAGCCTTGCCCAAATGTTCGGCGTCCGCCTCTACGCGCAACAGCGTGTCCCGCGCGACTGCGCTGGCCGGGATCTGAAGCAAGACGTGCCTTCCAGGCCGCATGAGGTCGAAGCGCTGGCCACGAATGTTGACCATGTGAGGATCGCCCACGGCTGTGACGACTGGCAGAGGAGGCGCCGGAGTGGACGCAGTCGGGCTGAGCGTGGGGAAGCCCGTCGGGGAAGCCGTCGGGCTGGCCGTCGGGCTGGGCGACGGGGATGCCGTCGGGGAAGCCGTCGGGAAGGCCGTCGGGAAGGCCGTCGGGATGGGCGACGGGGATGCCGTCGGAGAGGCCGTCGGGAAAGCCGTCGGTAAGGCCGTCGGGTAAGCCGTCGGGAAGGCCGTCGGGCTGGGCGACGGGGACGACGTCGGGGCAGCCGTCGGGAAGGCCGTCGGGCTGGGCGATGGGGATGCCGTCGGGGAAGCCGTCGGGAAGGCCGTCGGGAAGGCCGTCGGGGAAGCCGTCGGGAAAGCAGTCGGGAAAGCAGTCGGGACGGCCGTCGGGCTAGGCGACGGGGATGCCGTCGGAGAGGCTGTCGGGTCTGGCGTTGGGTCTGGCGTCGGGGAAGCCGTCGGGAAGGCCGTCGGACTGGGCGACGGGGATGCCGTCGGGGAAGCCGTCGGGAAGGCCGTCGGGTCTGGCGTCGGGAAGGCCGTCGGGCTGGGCGACGGGGATGCCGTCGGAGAGGCCGTCGGGAAGGCCGTCGGGGAATCAGTCGGGAAGGCCGTCGGGCTGGGCGACGGGGATGCCGTCGGGAAAGCCGTCGGGAAGGCCGTCGGGGCAGCCGTCGGGTCTGGCGTTGGGTCTGGTGTCGGGCTGATCGTTGGGCTGGGCGTCGGGTCTGGCGTCGGGAAGGCCGTCGGGTCTGGCGTTGGGTCTGGCGTCGGGCTGACCGTCGGGCTGGGCGTCGGGAAGGGCGTGGGACGGGGCGTCGGGAAGGACGTGGGGCTGGGCGTCGGGAAGGGCGTGGGACGGGGTGTCGGGAAGGGCGTCGGGAATGGCGTGGGACGGGGCGTCGGGAAGGGCGTGGGTCTGGGCGTCGGGAAGGGTGTGGGACGGGGCGTCGGGAAGGGCGTCGGGAAGGGCGTGGGACGGGGCGTCGGGAAGGGCGTGGGGCTGGGCGTCGGGAAGGGCGTGGGACGGGGCGTCGGTCCTGGCGCCGGCGCGAACAGACAGCCTTGGGTGTAGATCGTGCCCGCAGGCTTGGCGTTGGAAGCGCCCTCGCCACAGGTGCAAAGGCTCGAGGAGCCGCACCCGCAGCCCGTGTGCGTTCCGTGCCCGGTGTCGATGTTTGGCATCGTCCAGCAGGTGGCCCAGCCGATGCCGTATCCATCGCTCGAGGCGAGGCTGCTGCAGCACGGCTGACCAGGGCCGCATCCTGCGCGGGTCCAGAACGTGCCAGGGGGTGCCCCGTTGGCGCAAAGCGACTGCCCAGGCAAAAGGGGAGGCGGGCTGGGGGTGTCGCCCACCTCGCCCAGCCGCAGGAGGTTGGAGTCGAACACATCCTGGATTGCAGTCGCTGTGGCCAAAAGCGCGAAGGCGAGGCTTACCTGTACGCTCTCCATATCGACCCAACTGATGTGCTGAAAGGTGGTAGGGAGGTGGCACGAGCAAGAATTCGGCACTGTCTCCTTGAGCACAAGGGGATACGGGAGGTGCAACCACTGCATGAGAGGGAAGCCTGGCCCGAGAAGAGGGCGAGACGCCGCGATGTCCACCGAACGTGTCAGCGCACGTCTGGATGAGAACGTGGGGAAGGCCAGAACCGTACGGCGGTGACCTTGGGTCAGGACGCCCTGGATAAGGAGCCCGGGGTCTGGCGATCGACGGACGGCCCGTGGCGGGCCGCCCACCTCGCCTCGAAGCAGGAAGGGATGCGCCAGGGTCTGACCCCACCGGGTGGGCCTGGGTGGGCCGCCGAGGGCTCCCGGGGCAAGGTGGGGCCGTGCGCGTGCGCGCGCGCGGATCTGCAACCGAAGCGAAGGGGTGCAAGCGCGAACTGTCGCTCGATGTCTTGAACAACCGGATGGACGCACAAGGACAAGGAGATGAAGTGAACCATGAGGACGAGCACGCGGAAAGATAGGGGAGGACAACGAAGACGAAGGGCAGTAAGAAGCACGTGGAAAAGGGCCTCGAAGAAGAGGGGGTCCTGGTGACCTTTGGGGGATACCTTACCCGGGGGTGCTGGCGCCGCCTGGAGCTGCCTTGAGAGGCCTTTGGGGGGCCTCACTGGGGGCTTGATGGGGTCCTGTTGAAGGCTTCTGGGGTCTTCTTGGGCTGCCCGGGCGAGCCTTGAGGTTCTTTGGGGGCTCTCTTGGGCCGTCTTGGCGCAGTCGTGGGCCGTATTGGGGCTCTCCCAGAAGGCCCCCAAGAGACCCGAAAGAGGCCCCAAGAGGCCCCAAAACAACCCCCAAGACTGAGGATTCTTTATGGGCCTGGACCCCAAGCTCTCAAACCTCTTGAAGCTCCCCGCGCGCCCCCTGGGGCCCCCAGAATGTTCCCGCATGACTTGTTCGAGCCCAAGAGAGGCCCAAGACGGGCCAACAGGGCCCCAAGAGGCCCTCAAGACGGCCCAAGAAAGTCCCGAATCACCGAACGATCGGTCCAAGACGCCCGAGCTGGTCCCAAGACGGCCCGAGGAGCTTTCGAGACGCCCTAAGAGCCCCACGAGCCTTCCCAAGAGTGCCCCGAGAGGCAAACA